CGACACCTTTCAGGCCGTCGTCGACGCCGCGCCGGGCCGTGTCGAGTATCGCTTCCGCGTCACCCCGCGCGAGCGCACACGCGTCGACGCCGCCCCGCTCACGCGCCTCGGCTGGGACCCCACCCGGTCGACCCCGGACGCGCTGGTCACTTGGCCGCTGGAGATTCACGTCGCAGACTTGGGGAAGCCCGGGTCTACGCCCGGGGAGGGGATGGCCGTGTATGAGAGGAAGCCGCTGCAGCAGGAGGAGGAAGAGGAGGAGGAGGAGGAGGAGGAGGAGGAGGAGAAGGAGGAGGCCGTGCAGGAAGGGGAGGCCGCGCGCTTGGTGGAGCCGGGGCAAGGGGAGAGGAAGGAGAAGGCTATGTGGGGCGTCGTCGTCGCCGTGGCTACCATTGCGTGCGCGCTCGGCGCGGGCATGGCTTTGATGCTGGTGAGGGGGGAGGACGGTGGCGGCGGCATTGGCAGCATCGAGCCGGTTGCCGTTGAGGACATGCACGTGCGTGACCAGGGGGATGCTGCGAAAGCTGTGGCCGAGCGCGTGCGGAGCGTTCTGAAGCACGCGAAGAGTCAGCCGTTGTGATTGCCGCATGACGTCGTATGGTAGGTGTAGGATAGAGACCTCTGTATAGAAAATGGTTGCGAGAACAAACATGTCTTGCCTTGCCTTGCCTTGCACTGAATGCTGCACTCCGACAGTAGACGCAGACGCAGTGATTGTACTCCCTGTACGCACAACCTTCTCTGTTCCGACGTTTCGAGGGTGAGGAATGGCGTTTTTGCAGAAATGTTTAGCGAAAAAAGCAAAATATTTCAGTTTTCATAAAATTACTTCAATTTGGGGTTTATAAACGTAAAATTTCTTGTTTGCAACAACAACACGAGCCCTTGTAGGGTCTCAAAGATGATATGGCAGAGCGGTCTAATGCGTGTGACTAGAAATCACATCCCTTCGGGGGCCCAGGTTCGAATCCTGGTATCATCGTACTCTTCTGTCTTTTTTAATTTTTTTTTTGATGCCTTTCGATGGGTGTGCAACCCCACCTGAGTCTTCGACCCCGACACTCTGCAGAGGATGCATTTCATCGATGGAACGATCGACTCATCATGCTAATGCCCTTCGACTGGAATTGGAAGAGCGTATATCAACATTCGTCGTGACGCCTCCTTTTCTTTGCTGGACTTGCCTTCCTCTACGCTAGAGTGCACTCACCCGTACACGTCCTTTCATGGGAACGCTCCAACTCGTGTATTTTTGTTCCGTCGCCTTCCTGTCTCCCCTAAACAGCACCGCCCTTCCTACAGACAAAAGGTGTAATCAGAAACGTGATCCTGGGAGATTCCGTATGCGGCCCTGTGTTTTTTAAATCGCCTAGAGTGGAATTAGAAACCGCGGTACTACCCGTATGGAAGACACACACCCTAGTGTCTAGGTGACAAATGACCTCATATGAGGCCATTTGACCTCATATGAGGTCACTTTTCAACTTATTTTTCTCGACTTGTGCTAGCTCAACAACATGGAAAAAAGATACTCTCGACACGGCAGTTGACTTCTGCGTTGTGGAAGGGTGGAGTTTGGTGAGATCTGCACGTCTTCTCCAGCCATTTTTAAAATGCCCAAAAAGGAGCCTTTTTTGACCAACCTCAAAACGTTTTATGTTGATATCTTCGAAACCAAAACGCCTGTTTAAAAAGTCAACTCATCATTGATAGTTCATTAGATTCTTAGTCTCTCTGTGCATTGACAACCGCCATCCCAATGTTTTGCAAGATGTTATTGCCGAGCGCGTATACGTTAAAGAAATGGTGTCCAAACTGAATGTTTTAAAGTTTCGATTTAATTTATATATTTTTGCAAAAAAAAGCTGGCCTCATATGAGGCCATGACTGACCTCATATGAGGTCAAATTGCTTGTCGTCTAGACACTAGTCCAGGCGGTGCAGGCACGGCGTCATCGACGTACGAACGCATCTTTGTTTGCTTGAATCTGATCTCTGCAAACCCCACATGCATACTGGAACGGCAATCAATGCAACCAATGCTACAGTGCGACTGGACGCAGGCGAAGATGAGGCCGGACAGGACATATTCCCGGATGAAGCGGTGCACGTCAGAGAGATCTGGCAAGGCACCACTCCCTACCACGTCCTTTTGATTTCAACCTCGCACCCTGGCCCCCGCTGACTCCCGCTTCCGCACCGTTCCGCCCGCTCATTCGGTGCTGTATTCTCTGCTTACCAACTTTCATCGAGCTGATATCAGCTCGATGAAAGTTGTCTATCAATAGACAGACACCTGCACCACAGCTACGAAAAGATCCGGATGGCACGGGACGGCACGGAATGCATGACTGTATGCAAGAGGGTTCAACTGCACTCCCTGCCGCTCAGAATGAAACGACTCCTTTCGGTGCGGGCACCCACCGTCGAGTAGCCGTCAAGTAGCCGAGGGTTGTTTCATCATTTGGCCTCGATGCGGTGCGGCAGGCACGCGGCGAATATCCGTGACCAACCCCCCCCTTGTGTTCACCATCTCTCACCACCGGTCTCACGTTCCGCACCACCGCCTCGGACGTCAACGCGGCAGCTGCACACAAAGCCTCTTTGGTTGCGGCAACCACACAAACTTTCCCATGTCACCGCACGCGTACAGCGCCGTCCATAAGCCCACGCGCATGTCCAAACCTCCTTCGACCTCCGCATCTACAGTTGCAAGACTGTACAGTGTCTTGCTATCTCCGCACGCGTTACGTGGAGCAAATATTGTGCAGTACCCGCCCCGCCCCGCTACAAGATTCCCCGTCTGACGCTGCTGTAGACTCGTTCCGCACCAGCATGCAATGCTTTACGCATTGCTTCGCTTCCCCGCGTGCCCCCGAGCCGTGCAAACAACAATCTAACCACGCACCATATAACGCGTCGTCTGAGTAATGAGCAATCTTTCGCCCTGTACACGAAACACTACTCAAAACGCTACTCAAAACGTATCAGGAAAGGTGCCCCCTTACTCCCGAGCCATTCCAGGCAACGCACCCCCCCTCCCCATCCCTGTTGTACACCGTCCGCACCCTACTGCTCGCGCGCTCTTGAGACCAGCTTGTTGTTAACAACGGAAAACTGCTTGTTGAGGGTAACAGTTTCGTTGTCCACCGCAGAAGCATGAGAGAGCATCTCGCCGAGTCTCTCGCTTTTTTATCGTGGCGGTTCTTTCCGTGCCAATCGCCTGCGCGATCATGCATGCATTGCCCTCTGATTAGCACTTGCAAGAAATCCCATCCAGCTCGCCCCCACGTTTTCGCATCACGTCATGTATGTGGAGGCCGGGGCTTCTCAAGCTGCAGACGCCCCCGCTGCTTCGCACTACTCTGTCCAATTGCCTTTCAGTGTGCGTGCACTCCTCCATATCGAAATGGGGAGCCCAATAGAAATGAATTTACCCCTCCTTCCTTGCAATGAAAGCATGGAAGCATGGAAGCATGGAAGCATGGAAGCTCATGGGAGCTTCGCGGCAGGCGAGCAACCGTCCCCCTTTCCGTCCTTGTCGCTGTCGGCGTTACAATGCGCGATAGTCGTCTCTCCCGAAGGCTGGTCTCCTCCTCCTTTCAAGGACACCCTCCTCCACAGAGCTGTTGTGTGTTATTTGCTCAAGCGTATCCTGATCAGCAGCTTTCTGAAGACAACTGTATGGGTCTCAGGACGCGGTTTCCGAAAGTATCGAGAGTCGCCGCACTCGTCGGTGCATTCTTTCCTCTCAAGTTCCTCCGCCCAGTGACGGCTCCAGTCATGAAAAGCCGCTTCAGACATGTGTTCCCCCCTCTTACCACGACGTGGAGTGGTGGCGTCTGCGGAGAGTGCAGCAAACCTCGGAAAACGTATCGTACTTTGCAGTATCGAGAGTTCGAGCCATACGAGTGATGTCCAACTAGCGAAACCCCTTGTTGTGCAGAGTACAGTAGAGGGAAGTCACAAAACCCTGTCCTGTACGGAACAGTAATATACTGTGATGGTTATACAAGTTGCCGTCGATCGCAATCTTCCCTTCACGCAACGATGGATGTGCGTGCAGGCTGCAGAACGCATGAAAGCTCACGCGTCTGCGGCATATCGACCACTTGCATGCATGGGACGTCATCAGCAGCGCGCGGTAGAGTATCTTTTACAACTTTTCTCAACATAATGCTACACCACGGAGTCATATGCTATTGTACGAGCAGGTGCCGCTATTGTTTCGTCCCGCACAGCACTGTTCCTTATCGTACAGCAGTCGAAATGGCACAGGCATAGTGCTTTGGTTGATGGAAAGTCGTTTTTTTCTTGCATGTTGAATTGTTTTCTCTCACGCCCTCATAAACATAAACTCATCCAATGAAATCTTGCGAGTTGCAGCACAACACACCGTAAAGGTGGTTGGATAGAATGGAATTTTGCGCAATGTGTATTGTTACAGTACATCACGTGTGCTGCGAGTTGGGAAACTCGAGAGATGGCAGTGATGTTTACGCGGTCACCATCTCACCTCCTGCAGCCTCCAAGTGCCGCGGGTCACAATTGCATAAATCGCCCAATGGGAAGAGTCAGGAAAATCTCTCAGCAATGCGTTGATGTACATGCATGATGTATAGAAAACAAGAAGGCTGCCAGTGTTGCCATGGGGAGTGGGCACATTCTCGGAAGAGATGTTTTTTTTTTTCGGGCCGTGGGCCGACTTGCTTCGTGCATTGACAAGGCAAGACGATCTGTGAAGTCGAAAGTGACAAGACCCGTAAGTTGACTAGCGACCGAGTCATAAAAGTGTGACCAACGTCACTATAAGGTATATCATACAGCGACGCAGCATCATACTGTACTACAGTGTACGAAGAGATCCCATCAAAGGAGTAAGGTAAGCAAAAAGCTCATGACGAAAGATACCGTACTGCCCATGCATTGTGCAGTCCAGAAACTGGAGAGCCCCGTGGCGTGAAGACTGGCATGAGGGCCCAAAGGATTATAGCTGCGCTTTCAAGAAGGGTACGCGATAGTCTGTAGCAAGTTCATGCTGATGGTTAGATTGCGTCACGCAAGCAAGGAGATCGACATGACGGCACTCATGTCTTGATAGGCGGTTGCAATACTGAAACCGCGATTCCGTTGCTGTCCACCAAAGAGCCTTTGTAGACCCTCATGATGATTAACTAACGTCCCCTACCCAGGCTCGAACTTTCAGTGGAAAGCTGCACGGCGCAAGACCGTCTCATGAAAAAGCACCAAGAAGCAAGGTTCTCGGGAATCCTGTCGGACCATGTGAGCCAACGCGGCTTGCGTAAGATGTAGATACAAGGCGTACAATTTTCAGTTTAATAGCGCATGTCTAGTGACTCGATACCTGCAGTACACGATACAGTTCCGCGGTTGGAAGTGATGGTTGTCCTCAAGTGATGGTTCTCCAGAATTCTTTCATTTGTTGAACAGGAATGCATGTGCACTGCAACTGACACTGAGGGCATACGGAACGTACTGCCCGACCGGTCGTGCCAAGAAGGAATGAAATAGTGTAGAGAAGAAAATAAGAAACGCCTGTATCCAGCCAACACAAACGACTACTGTACCGTATCAAAACTAGCGATGTATGGCTTGCTATTAGACACAGGAGACGGATGTCCGTCCACAGCCCACGGCACTTGGGTGTTCAGCGAGGCAACAAATGACACCTACCTAGTAAGCACCCTTCCTTTGTTACAATGATGTCCGCTCTGATGTCGCCCATAGGGACATGATTACTTGGTGTTTGTGGTGCGTCGTCTGGAGCGACCTTTACAGCCAGACCCTTCGAGGGTCAATGCATCTCGGACACAACTTGAAGAAGTCACACGAACTCGAGGCAAACGTTACAGCCTCTAACAGTCGTACCGTGCATGTACTGGGATGTACTGGGATGCACTGCGCAGTGGGAAAGACCTACCTTCTACGCAGCACATTGCAAGTTCTTCTAGAACCTGCGGAGTGAGTGCGATAGAGAGCAAGCCTTTCGCGAGGAGTGAGAGTACTGTACTGTACTGTACTTTTGCAGTTTCTCACTGGAGAACGGAAAAAAGGGTCGATTCTAAACTGTACAACGTGAGTAAAGATTCTTCTGTGTACAGTACCACTCAGAAGGGTACGTGCAGTACCCTAAGGGTACAGTACCGCGAAATGGACTGGAACGCGACATGCACGCGGGTCTCTACCGGCACGGTCAGTTCACGAGTTGGGTAGCGTCAAGTTTCAGGGCCCTCATGCGAGAACTTCAGCACAAGTTGAGGGACACCAGGAAGGGGTGCTGATGCCTCGCTGCAGGTGAAAACCTCATTGTTCTTTGCCAATGGGGACTCCACGTTGCGATGCCGACAATTAACTAAATCGGCGCCCTACGTCACGCGTCCAGATAGGTAACATTTAGTTTCTAGCTCTCTTTTCTCCTCGTGTTGACACGAGGTGACATCACCTACTGCTACCACCACACCCAATCTCTAACCTCCCAAACCCCAAACCAATTATGGGTCGGACGTAACTGCGTGATGATGCGTTTCAATGCTACAGTATATGATACTGTAGGTGGGTACGGTACGCATCCAGCCTCTATCAATTACGAAATGCAGGACGCCTAGACAGTACCGTACGGTACAATAATGCGAAGGCTTTTCTTTTATCTCGAGGTTGTCTGGCGGCACGTAACATACCAAACAGTACCATCTTATCATACCCTTCGAAGTTGACCGGAAGTTAGGATTGGTTGTCACCCACGTTATCTTTCTTGCATGGAGTCTTTTTCTTCTGCCTCTCAGAGCGTGGGAGCGCACCCTTGCGTCAAACTAGAGGCTCTGCAAAGACACACCACACCGCCTGTTGGGCATCAGGGGCGTATGCTTCGCCATCCCTCATGCCGGGGCAATTAACAGGAAGTCACGCCGATCAAGTCGGCCTCTGTAGCAAGATTCTTCATAAATTAATAAAAAAAGTCTCCATATCGTTGAAGAGAGCATTTTTCGCACTTCG